AACTATTTTGATACTGGGGTTTGAAGCCAGGGCCTTCCCACTGAGCTTCACATTCCCAGAACTATTTTTATTTTGAGACAGGGTCTTTCTAAGTTGCCCAGGCTAGGCTGGAATTTGGAATTCTCCTGCCTCAGCCTCCCAAAGTGCTAGGACTACAGGTGTGCACCACTATGCCAGGTCTGTTTTGTAGACATAATGCTATAACACACTTAATAGGCTAGAGTATAGTATATATAACTTTTATATGCACTGGGAAACCAAAAACTTAGTGTGACGTGGTTTATTGCAGTAGGAACCAAATCCACAGTATCTTTGAAGTGTGCTTATGTGTTTTTTGTTGTATACAATTGGAAAATAATGTTAAACTTTTTTTAAACTTTAGAAGTGTTAATATATCAAAATACACTATGAAAATACACTATGACTCTCTCAGAAAGGAGTGTAATTTGAGATTTTCCCCAAACTTACCTGTGTACAGAATGATCCTTTCAGTACTTCTTAAGGATCTAGTATTTCCAAGAACACATTTTGATAAGCTCATCCTAGGCAGTAAGGTGACCTGTCATGATTTATATCTACATGACCCCCCCAAACACCTTATAAATTCATAAGTGGGGCTTTTGGGAGGTGACTGGATGGATCACAGGGCACGATACTTATCAATGTGGTTTCGTCCACTGATGAGGTCATAGCTAAATGTGATGTTGGGTGGGTCACTGGGGGCATGGCCTGGAAGGGTCTGTCTCTCCCTCCTACCTTGAGCTCTCTCTGCTTCCCAGCACTGTGGCATGACCTGTTTCTCCTCTGCCATGCTTTTCAGCCATGCTGCCTTGTTTTGGAGCCAGCTGACTATGGACTGAGACCTCTAAAGACTATGAGCAAAAATAAGCTTGTCCTCCTTAGAATTGTGGGTATCAGCTATTGTGTCTCAGTGATGAGAGAGTAACAAAGACATGTAACAAGCAGAATATGAGAAACACCATTAAAATTGATTTAGAGAAAGGAACAATCACTTAAGGCTGGAAAGAATTGGCTGAGATTTCAAGAAGAAAAAGCTTGAGTGGGCTCTGAAGGATGAGAAGGACAGTGACAGGAAAGCTTGGTAAGTAGGAGACTCTTTAGGTGGAGGGAGAAGTCTGGCCAAGAACAAAGAGATGGGAAAAGCATAAACTTGTTAAGGAATAGCAAGTATCTTTTCTACATCTTCAAGAGGATCCTCTTAGGCTCAACCAGATATTCACCAGCTCCCCACAGATCACACTGGTCCTGTTCTACTCAGAAGGATGCAGGACAGAAAGGATGTAGGGCAGTGTAGGGACAGGGGTCTGTAGAAAATAAAATAAAATAGGTGCCTCCTTAAGTTTTCTAGCTAAGCCTGACTAGGAGTTAAAAACAAACTTTACAGAGATATTCCCCTGGGAAGCAAGTAAAAAACAGGGACAGAGAAAGAAAAGAAAGAAAAGAAAGAAAGAAAGAAAGAAAAGAAAGAAAGAAAGAAAGAAAGAAAGCAAGAAAGCCAGAAAGAAAGAAAGAAAGAAGGCAGGCAGACAGGCAGGCAGGCAGGCAGTCAAACAGATAAAGAAAGGCACCAAGTGACCTTGGCATTTGGACTAAGAGACCACAAAAAGAGCTGATAGGATACAGAGAGAAAGCTAAGTGCACAACTGATAAGCCACCCCCCACCTCCAATAAAATATAGGGGAATCAAGTGGGGGGGGCTGACTAAGGCAGTATCTACTAACACCTATGCACTAACATATACACTTACATATATGTGTATTCACTCTTGAGTAACTATTACATTCACTCTGGGTCATTATAGAGTAAATACATACACACACACCCCCTTACTAACCCTAAGATAATGAAGAATAAGGTACCCCCTTGCCAACTAGTGGCGCACCCCAAAGATAAGGCCTTAAAAGGTATGTCAAGGACAAGTAAACGAGTAGACAGAAAGAAGCAGCACATAGACCGCCCCCCCCCCCCGAAGAAATGATGTTAGGCAGAGGTGCCCAGAAGGTGATACAGTTAGGGCAAGTTCTGGGTGGACGGAAAGGCTAACTCACCGCCCCCTATAAAAATAGCTAAGAACAAAGGGTCCACGGGTCCTCCATCTTTCTGGAGCCTGCTACCCTGATTCTTTCTTATCAGGGTAGCTATCTATGTTTTCCTTTCTCTCTCCTCCCAAATAAAATGTTTTCATTAAACATCATCCCTCTACTTTATAGCTGGGGCTGAGTTACGATTCTGGTGGGCTGCCTGGACAGCACAGCAGTGGTGCTTGTGCCCTAGATGCAACAGAAGGTAGCATCAGGCTTTCCACTTTAGAGCAACAGTGGTGGCAACAGACTTTGTATCAGTCCACACAGGTCTTTGTTTTTAACCATTGACAGGCTTTATTTATTTTATTTTTGATGTGTAAGAACCCTTACGTTGTAGCTACTGCTGGAGCTTGAGTCCTCTGGACAGAGACTCTGGTGTGGGTACCTGACCCCTTACCTTTGGAAAGAAACTGTGTTCACCAAGTCTCCTACACAGGTCTTTATATGGCTGCCCAGCAGCTATTCACCTCCCCGCAGTGACCTCTCAGATGTAAGGGAAGAAACTCATATTAAGCAGGTAACATAGTTTCCCAAGCTTAGAAACTCTGTCTCAATGACACCAACATCTCTTGTTACAGCTTTTCAGGCATAGCTTCTAGTGTCCCCATAGAGAACTTACTTAGTTATAAGAGTCAGAGTATTCAAATCCAAACTATGGTTTATCTCTATATAATTATAATTTCTCTCCATGCAGATATAATTTACCAATCAAATATCACTTTAACCATGAGCATTGCAATCTATGTAATGTAGTTGATGTAATATGTTTATTTGAATTCCAAGGTACAGCACTTGAATGTCAACCAAAGGTCAGATTCTTATTCAGAAGCTGTGCCCTTTACATTCAGTTTATATATATTAAACTAGCAAAGCTAAAGGAGGCAAATTATGTGAGCTCTTGGATTCCAAACTAGAGTTTAGATTTATGTTACTTCCAATTTTTTTGCACAGTATATTTTTCTGGATGCAGGATAAATTTCTAATGGAACATATTCTTTCTCATTAGTACATTTTTGCAATACATAATGATAACATTCCTTGTGGTGAGTTGGTACATGTACATTACACATCTCAACTCTTTTTATATTCCTTTTATTTCCCTTCTCTCCCCCTCCCTCCATCTCTTGGTTCCACTTCTCATTTGCAAATGATCTACTTCCCTGTTTCCAATTATATATCTTTTACTTGGACCTTTAATTTGCTTATATTTTGGGTTTTTCATATAAAAGAAGTCACGCCATTTTTAGGCTTATGTGTCTGATTTATTTATTTTTCCAGGTGCATCCATTTTCCTCAGGTGACTAAAATATCCTCCTTTGTAGCAGAGTAGCATTCTATTGTGTGCAAATGCACATTTTCTTCATCTATCCATTAATGGACATATAGGTTGCTTCTAAGATTTAGCTACTATGAATCATGCTGCTATAAACATGGGTATACCTATATACTATAATATATGTCTTTAACTCTTTTGAGAAGATTCCTAGGAGGATAGTTTTATAAATGGAATTTCTATTTTGAGTTTTTTGAAGAATCTCCATACTGATTTCCATAGTTCTTGTGCTAGTTTACATTCCCACCAACAGTGTAGAAGGGCTTCTTTTTCCCCCGCAGCCTCACCAGCATTTGTTATTATTTGATTTCTTGATGATAGCCATTCTTTCTGTAGTAAGATGGAATCTCAGTGTTGTTTTAATTTGCATTTCTCTAATGGCCAGTGATGTTGAACATTTTTTCAGGTATTATTACCTTAAACAAAGCACATGAAAAGGTATATTTTGATGTAAAAAAATTATAACACTTGAATAGATATCAGTGTTAGTATATCTTAGTAGAACCATTGAGAAGTTTTAATACAGACACACAAATATACAGCCATCTTCTGAAATAAAAATCATCTGAAATAGAAAGGACTGTGTTCTTTCAACTCATAGAAGGTTGAATCTTGAATAGCACACCTAAGAAATAAATATCTGGTGCTTACAAAATGACCTTTTGTTTTTTTCCATCAGTGCATGTTCTAATATCCTAGTGAAAAAAGGGCCACAATTTTCCAAATCATATGTCCAAATAAGAAAGCCCACAGGCTTTACCCTGAAGATCTTGGAAAGAATGGCTTCTCAAAAGGCAGAAGGCTACAGGTGAAGGATCTTTTCTGTATTGTATTGAAATATTGGATCGGTTTTGTAATATGAAAAGTTTTGCAGCTTGCATGTAAATTGCTGAAGCAATACCCACTTGTTCAATGGGCTTATCAATGCCATCACCAGCATCCCACATAGCAGGACTCAGGGCCTGCATGAGACCCAGTGGTTCAGTAGCTACCTGACCTGGAGACTCCTGTAGTAGGAACCTTTGATTCATGGCTTTATTATTCCTCAAACTCCTACCCAATTTATCTAACAAGGCTATGTCCAAGACCTGGAGGTACAGCAGAAGGAGACTTATTATCTTCTCATGATGACAAGTAGCCAATCTGACAAACTGACATTTAATGTATGATAGTGGAGGCAACTTTGCTTTCCCTCCACTCAGGCAACATGTTCAAGCTAGAAGTGTGACTTAAAGACACTATCAAGCATCATGCTTTACCATCCCACTGCACTCCACAACTCGGAAACACCATTCACCTTCTATGACACATCTAAAGTATGGGTCTATGAATCTTTTGTCGGTGGGAAGGAGGGACCAATCCAGACAAGGCACTAGAATATTTATGAGCTGGCTCCTGTCTCCTCCGTATCTATATAGCCCAGCACATAAAAAAATCTCCATGCCATTGCTGATGTATTTCAACTATGTGTTAAGTTTGCCTTATAATGAGAAGGACTCACAGTATCCAGTCTAGGGTAGGATGCTTTTCATGTTGGAGTTTGACAATAGAGGCACATGGTCAGGAATCCAAGAAAATAAATTTATTAAACTTTGAAGGAATACATCCACAGACATCAGGAAAGTTAAACATAGACTGCAGGACACAACCAGTCATATGAGTGAATAATGGCTTGTGTGGCCAGCAAAGTACCAAAGTGACATTCTGAGACTGACTGAGGTATTTAACTATTTTTTGGCTATAGAAATGCGATCAGCCTATTGTAGAATAAGACAGTTCTTTCAAACACACAACTTTAAATTGAATTAGCTTCTACATTAATGATATTTTATATGAAACTAAATGATGTAGCTCCTGAAGAAAACCATAGCAGCAAGGTAGCAGAAAATCTATTGAATGAATTTCACTGTTTTTCTGCAAGAAAGTGGGAATTAAAGTCACCAACCACTAAGCTTGCTTCCTCAAAAGGTCTGAGCTAAATGTTGAACACCATTTAAATAGTAACTTTGAAGTAACTTTAAAGCTAACTTTAACATTTTAAGTTTTTTAAAAAAATACTTAAAATGAGAAGTACTCTTCAGTGAGATGAAATGATTCTCCTTTACGGAACTTTTAGGGACCTGTCCTAATGGATGATGTTGAGGTTATGGAGGAATTGAAGAAAATCATTTATATGATACTTAGGCATTTGTTGTGCTTTTTATTGATTTTTATTTCTGACTACCAGGTTCTACGCTAGACCTTTGGAGAGGAAATAAAAAATGATGAAAGTTCTTATTTTTCTTGTAAAAATAAGTCCTATAAAAGGTTTAATGAAGAAATTTCTGCTATTGATCTGATTACTTTTGAGTTATCCTTTGGGCTAAAAAATCTTGTCTCTTCTGTCCCCTGATACCGTGTGTAATGAGTATGTGTCTGGCTATAGGCTGTGAAACAAAGACCTGATTCTTGAGCTTTTTGTTCCAGTATCCAGTTAACTTCATTCAATCTGCTTTGATTTACAAATATTTCTTGCCCTTCTCTTCTTGGGTAACTATGACATAAAACCAAGTTGAGTTTGAAGAGGCCCCACTGCAGAGGTGCTGGCGCATTTTTCTCACTCCCCTGCCCTCACACAGCCTAACCTCTGCTTCTCTTATAGCACAGCTCTGGGGCTTGAACTGAAATTCGCTGAAGAAATGTATTTTTTGGTTTGTGGTATGTTGATGAGTGTAAACATTTTAACAAATTCTTCTAAATTAAAAAATATTTGTTTAAAAATTCAGATACAGTCAATATGTTCCAATAATGCAGGTTATTAGACTTTTAGAATTATTTAAGAAGTTTCAGGAGACATAAAAAGGACCTTGTAGAAAACTAATTTGTTTGCTTTTCTTAGGTGCACTGAACAAAGCATTAAACCAGCATTACACTGTAACTGCTACCTTTTTTTTGGTTAAGTCATCGTGAACTACAGTACACAATGTGTAGTGTATTATAAAATAGCCATGCTTGAAGTCTAAATTATTAAAAATATCTTTATCAATTTTATGTCAAAATAAATGTTTTATATATCCAAACTATGTTTGGCTTCTTACCTAAAGTTTTATCTCCATGTTAATTAAAAAAAATAGCCTGTGCTATGACTTGCACTCAGTTTCCTGAACTGCAAAAGCCACCTGACTTTATTTTGCTTTTTTGAAAAGCTTGATTTACTGTACATTAATGGTGAAGCCATTTAATGCTCAGCATCACAAAATTAACACCACAATAAGACAATTACTGCCACAAAACAGTCTTTGAGACAATTTAGAATATTTACAATTCACAAGGGAATATATGATTAAGCATTCTTAGTTTTTCATTTCAATATCATGTTTCAACATTTCAGGAAAAGGCAGTTAGAATCTATACCCACTCTCACACTCTCCCAAGAAAACATCATTTTGGTTTAAGCACTCATGCCCTAGCCAGTTCTTTGTGATGAAATATGTCACTTTTGGGAAACTGAAGAAGGGCTACAGCATGATTTTGTTCAGCTGGTCTGTGCTCACGTAGCCACATGATGAGAGAAATTCTTTGTCAGGCAAAGGCAAGGGCAAGGCAGCTGCATTGAGTATGAGACCCTGTGGAGACTGCACTATATGAACGGAGGTATAATCTGGGAGAGCCGTATCAGAGCTGGGAGCCTGTTCTGCAGCCCCAGACTTCTCAGCAGCAGTGATAAGGCTTTCTGTGGTGATGTAAGTGTCCTCCTCTTTAAAGCTTGGTTCTTCACGTGACTTGACCTCGATGTGAGGGGTCATGACAATGCACTTTTTGGCATCTCCCTTGAAGAAGTAGGCATTGTCTTTGATGAACTTTGCTTCTGGATGCATTTCACACTGGGACATTCCTGCCTTATTTTTTTGGCCTGGGGAGAGGACCACACTCCCTGCTGGCGTAATGTCACTCACCTGGGCATAAAAGTCCATGTTTGCCAGTGAACTAGGATTACTTATCTGAGTAGGGGCATCTTGGTTAGTTGACTCAGTTTTACCAATAAGAAGTGGTTGTGGTTTGTCTTCCTTTGCTGGAATAACACTGGTCTGCTGAGGATCAGGAGAAGCATCACAAAGTGAATTATTTTGATTCTTCTTGTCAAGGCACAAGAGATCAGCTTCCCCTTTTAACTTGTCTGGCTGAACGACCTCAGAGCTGCCATCACCCATATCACTGGCATTGAAATCAGCCTCCAGAGTATCAGGTTCATAACAGCTAGTACGTCCAGAGTCATCATCCTTTGCCCCAAGGATATTAAGTGATTTCTGATGGTCACTGCTGAGAAGTCTGTCTGTGTCTGATCCTCCAATCTTTTCGTCAGGGTCATCAATATCTAGCTCAATAAATTCAACCCAAGAGTCATCGTTGTAGAATTGAGGCTTAGAGTTATCATGAATGGCTAAGATTGTGTTCACCTCCTCTAATTTTCCTTCCTAGGAAGCAGAAAAAAAATGAAGATCTATGAAAAGATCCTCATAATGATTAAGTAATTTTAAATCTACACACATAGCTTGCAAAACACTCTCCACATATGATAGTATTCTTCAGATCTGACTTAATTAGTGCTATGTACAATTGATATAGGTTTGTTAATTACCTTGAGGAGATCTGGATCAACTCCTTTAATCTTTGGAACTGGAACCGGGGGCAAAATCAGCATTTTAATCCTTGAAAACAAATAAAATTTTTGTTTGACATATCTTAAAATTCACATGTTCTCTTTTTCCAAAACATAGAAATAAAATATTAGCAGCACTATAACTTACTCTAAATATTCTAGCATTTATATAAGTGGAATATGAGAAAGGGAAGGAAATGTTAAGCGGTAAGTAAAAACTACAGAAGAAAGAAAAATAGCAACAAAAGCCCTTATGTGAAGTCTATTTAAATAAAATGTGGTTTTCTTATCTTTTCTTAATGATTTTTATTGACAACCAACTTTAGTATCTGAGAGTGTGAAATGTAATTCCATCTGAAGCTAAATTTCATGTCAGTCATAAGGAAGGCAATTTTAGTGCATATCTCACTAGTAATTTGCAGAGGAAGGAAGGAAGGAAAGAAGGAAGGAAGAAAGGAAAGAAGGAAGGAAGGAAGGAAGGAAGGAAGGAAGGAAGGAAGGAAGGAAGGAAGGAAGAAAGAAATGACAAAGAAACAAAGAAAGCAAACAAGTTTAGTGTAAATAGAGCCAAAGTTATTTATGCCCTTGAAAGAAGGTGGACTGGGGGTAAGTTAGCATAATACAGTTCACAGTAATTATAAAATCATCCAAAAAGATTTCTAACGAGGATGTTACTGCAGGGCTCATTTTCAGGTAAGACAACATCTGAACTATCTCTAACTGATTAGGATGGATTTATGTACACAATTCTGTGATGCACTTACCTTTCCTGTTCTAAACAATAAAATTATTTATGATCATAATTCATTTCACTGTCTTTCCTGCCTGTCTTGTGCCTTGTTAAATCCCTAGCACTTATCACAATTCCTGGCATGAAGAAGGTGTTCAATAAACATTCCTTAAATAAATCTGAATAAATCATTTACCTACTTAGTTAATAGTGTAGCTGGAGTTTATAACTTAAAACCAGCATTATTTTACTAGAAAAAAAAGCTCAGAGATTATCATTACAAACAACTTACTTTATGGTTTAAAAAACCTCCCAAGTATTCAGAATTGTCATTGTTGGGCAACAACAGTAAACTGGTTTTTCTATAGTCTATTCAGCACGGAATTTTTCTCTCAATATTTCCACCTGCCATCTTACTTAATCTAAGGAATAAATCAAACTTCATTGTATAATTTGCTTTGAGTAGCCACCACCACTATACTTACTTAGTAGGGCAAATGTCAAAACAAATTGTTACTGATGAGTAGCACATGTAGAGATGAGTAATATAAATTATTTTGCCATTTTGATTGCCTCTGATATACCAGATATACTTGAGATAAACTTTGCACAAGAACATAGGTTGCAAATTGTAGTTTGTGGTCCAACTCTGGCTTGCCAACTGTTTTGTATAGAAAGATGTTTTTGAAACACAAACACATTCATTTATTTACAAATGGTCTTTGGATGTTTTCATGTCAGATTTGTGGAACTGAGTAGTAGTGGCAGAGATGTGTCCCTTCTAAAGCCTAAAAATTTACTGTCATACGGCTTATGAACAAGTTTGTTGACTGTTGCACCAAATATTTTCTTTAATCCTTACCACAACCAAAGAAGCAGACTATCGATGCAAAAAATTAGAGAAGTAAGGAACATGTTCAAATTATTCATAGATACTTGGCATGGCTGGGACTCAATCCCAGAGTACCCAACTTCAAACCCAAGTCTCTTTGTCCTCTGTCATCCTGGTGTGCTGTTTGGTTTTGCATCTCTAAATGCATATTTAAAATATTCAAAAACAGAAAAAATGCAATATAATACTAATTATAGGAAGCAAAGATTCCTAAATGGCTAATGTTGAATATTTTGATTCTCTGTCTCTCTGTCTCCGAGTCTTTCTCTGGAAGGGGATGATGCATTTTATCACGTTAGTGTTTTTTTTTTTTTAATAGCTGTGGTAACTTTAAGCCACAGAGACTGACCCTGAAACCCAGGCAAGGGCCCGAGTTGGTTATGCAAAGGAATAAAAGAGGTCCATAGAAATGCTGTGAGGAAGGATAACATGGTGTCAGACTGGAGTATGTATACCTTCCCGAATGGGACAGCTGGTTCTCTGCTGCTGCTGGGCACATGCCATGCAAAGAAAATCAGCCTTGTTTTACTCCATCTTTCAGGTTTTAAGGAAGATCCCGAAATCTAGATTTTTGTGTGGAGTTTCTCTATTTTGTAGCCACATTGTGATAGAATTCTTACTCCAATAATAAAAGTAAAACAAAATAACAAAACATGGATCTGCAGTCTGAATTTGGCTTTCATTTTCTCACTTCTGTTTTATGCTGATTCAATTATTTCTTTCCTCAATTAATAATACATTGAAACCCCAGTGGATCATATGCTGGAAACTCTTACAAAGTAAAGATAACATGCTAGAGACAATATGAAATTGCTATCATTTTATTCAAATATAGAATGCATTATAAATCATGTGAGAGGTGGACTTTTATTTGGATTAAGACAGGGTAGAGTAGCTTAGATAATGACCTGGGACTTACAAACGTTCAAAGACATGTAGGACCTGCAACCTTGAAAACCCTGGTTTTCTGAGGAAGACAGACAGGAGAACTGCAGTCTTTGGAAGATGGTTTTAACTGTCAGAACTACGTATTACTTCCATACCTACGGACAAGTATTTTCTACTGTTTCTTATTTTCATAAAAACATGAAACTTTGTTTTTAATTTTTATTTTATTAGCTTATGTTTGCCATACATGAAATTTATATTTGTTCTGTGGAGTAGGTGCATGTACATAACAGAGTTTGTGCTTTTTTCAGTCTCTCTTTCCTTCCCACCTATTTCTCTCCCTCTGGTTCTAAATCATCTTTGCTCATTTTCATTCTTGTTGTCAGTATTATTCTTAGCTCATGTTTGTGACATGTAATGTTTACATTTATTGTGGCTATTTGGTACCTGAAATATTTTAAATCTCACTTCCCTTTCTTTTCCCCCTCTCTTCACCCTCACTCTCTTGGACCCCTTCCCATTTGCAAAAGATTAATCTCATTTTTTCCTTTTGTCCATTCTTTATTTTGCTTCTTGTTTGTAGCTTCCCTTGCTCAAATAAGAGATAGCATATAGTATTTAACCTTGCGTGTCTGATTTATTTCACTCAAAATTATATTCTTCAGGTATATACATTTTCCTACAAACATTTCAAATTTATCCTTCATAGCCAACCATTATTCAATTACGTACAGATATTACAGTTTCTTTACCCATTCATCTATTGTTGGTCATAGGGGTTGCTTCCAGGATTTAGCTATTATGAATTGTGCTACTATAAAGAGTGGTGTGCATGTATTGCTGTAGTGTGGTGTCTTTAGCTCTTTTGGGAAGATATCTAGAAGTGGAATAACTGAGCCAAGTGGAACTTCTAGTTTTAGTTCTTTGAGAAATATCCATACAGATTTCCATAATGGGTGTACTTGGTTACATTCTCACCAATGCAGGAGGGTTCCTTTATCACCACAGCCATGTCAGCATTTGTTATTCTTTAACTTCTTGATCGTTTCCATTCTTACTGGTATAAGATGAATTATTAACATTGTTTTAATTTGCATTTCTCTTATAGTCAGAGATTTTGAACATTTTTCATATGTTTGTTGGCCACTTCTACTTCTTCTGAGATGTGTCTATTCATTTCACTTGCCTATTTCTTGGCTGGGTATTTTATTTTGGGTGACCGATTTTTTTGAATTTCCTTTTTTGAATTTCTTTCT